GTTTGAACTTCACCTGACCTCTGATTATCGGCCACGTCGAGCATGGATTGCTTGTGGATTGCCATCGTTTCTGCGGTTACCGTACGTCGGAGGCCAATTGACATGCACTAGGGTCTAATGCCTGGCGGCCGAGAACCCTCTATCCCTTGTATGTGCGTCGGTATGTAGTAACAATTTTTTTGAGCCCGTAAACATCGAGGCCGTTGGTTGGCCGTTGGGGTAGCATCGCTGAGTAGAAAGATCACCATGAGAGGTGAGGTGGATTTGTGAGAATTACAGCTAGGCAGGAAGAATAGCCTCAAGTTAAAGCTACGTTGAGATAGCAGCAGCAGACGAGCGCACAAGTAGCATTGAACGCGACGAACTTGCGGTAGTAAGTTTGCTGACGTCACTTCCAATCACGAGTGTCCTAAATTTCCATCTTCCCTGTGCATTTCCTCAATCACTACATAGCTCCCTCGAACATCCTTCTGTCTCTAACCGGGTGACCAGGTCCTTCCCCAGACTTGGGAATGTGTCACCCCATGCACTCTCAAACCCCTCCTTGATAGACCGTTCAACCTCCTGGGTTCCACACACGGTTGAAACCAACCGTCCTTCGTAACGGTATCGACTCCTCGTTGATCGTCCTCTGTTGCGCCTGCTTGATCTCTCTGTGCAACACAAAAAGTCGCCGGTTTTTCGAGGGTTCAATGTTCTTTCGAGAAGGCTGTTGAGCTGAACTCAGAAGCAAACGCTGGGTCTTCGGGAAGGGAATACATCGAACGGGCTTGAGCTGCGTATACGCATGATGGCGTCAGGAGCTTCGCAAATGTGGCGATCGAGATAGACCCCAACGTCCACCCCAGCCATCACTGCGCAAAAGCGCATGCGCGGTATCCGAAGTCTATCCTATCATCGGCGTTGGCCAGTCAGTCCGGGATGGGGAGGTTTATAGTGGTACGACAATTAGAATTTTGAAATTGCAACGTTCACTGGATGCTTACATTGCCAACAGCGTTGCCTTTCGTCGCCCAACCTTTTGCTCTGCCTTCCATCTACAAACAACCCCTACTCAGCCAACCCGCTCGTAACTACTCCGCATACGGATAGAGGATACTCGGTCAAGCCGTAGTCGACAACGTCAGCCCTCAACGTCCTTTCCAACGACGCCAATACGCTCTCGAGAAGCTCCACAAGCCACGGTAGACCATGGTCGCCCGCCTGGTTCACGTCGGTCAGAAGGAAGTGACGCCAGCTCGAGCTGGAGAGCTGGGAAGGGGGGAGAACGGACGTTTTGACTTCATTGAGTTAGTGACTCTCTTCCTTTGTGCTTTCCTCCCTGCTTTGGCCTCCAAATCCTCTTGACCTTTTGCGCTCGGCTGACCGCCTTCGTCTGTTACTCAGGTTCTGATTCCACATCACTGGCAAACTCCAACTCTCCCACTTCCATGGTCGCATCGTCTTTTGCGTCCGCCATTTGCACCCCTTCGTGCTTCGGCCCGCGAAGGGGATATTGCTATGGTGGATTTCACCCAGGTAAGCCGCCTCTACAGAGCTCGTGGATCTAGCATCACCTCTTCGCCAGCAGCCACGGCAATTCCTCACATAGAGCAATTCGGACACTGCCGTCCGCCTGATCATACGCGCAAGCTTGAGTCGCAGAGCTGGAGAGTGGGGATAACTCCTTCGGTAAGTTGTCGGCCTTGCTTTACGTTCTCCCTTCCCCGGCTTCTGAATTCCTCGTCACCTTGCATCTATCTGGTCCTTTGCCTGGCTGACCGACCTCCTCCGTTACTTGGGTTCTAGTTCCACAACACCAGTGCAATCCCCAGCTAGTGATCGCACTATGACTCGCGCAACTCGGGCACTAGTACCAAGCTCGTGGTTTTATCAGTGGCCGTAGGCAAACCTCATATACATAGATCGTCTGATAGGTTGCGCCCAGCGTGTGGTTGTTTGTCCATTTTCTCTCAGAACTATTCGATAACCTTCTCGTCGACGACCCACTCCGTCCTTGGCGATGTCTCAAGTCGAGCAAAGGTTAGAGTCAATGCCTGTCGATCTGGGCCTCGCCCTGACTTCTAGCTACTATATAAAACTGCCTCTACCGTTACGTGGCTAACTGTTTTCTTCCTTCTTCCAGATGTTCCACGCGTAACTACGTACACACCACCCTACTACCCCAATTCCGTCTCGTAGTACAAGCAAATATTTCTCGTTGACATTGGACTCAGCATATGTACATACTGAATAGATTCACGGTCCGTTACCATTTCATCTCTAGACTAAGATACACCTTCATCTTTCCTCTGTTTCCAAGTTGTGTCCCTCGACCTTGGCAGACCTATCACCAGAGTTCTTGTCGGGTAAACAAGCAGTCGCTTGGAATATCTCCACACTGAGTAAAGCGGCGATTCGTTTGTAATGACGTTCCAGCCCCGCAGCTCGTCCAGGTGCGATTGCAATTGGAGCTCCTACAGATCCGTCGACCTCACATTTGTCAGTCAGCTCTGTCTCGCCATTTCGCGCCTCTACAAGCCTACACCTTGTGCGAAGGAGGTCTTCGCGTAGTAGTGAAGTGTTTCCTTCATTCAACTCTGCATTGCCATAGTACGTATTGTTGAATCTTGTGCGAAGGAGGTCTTCGCGTAGTAATGAAGGATTTCCTTCGTTCAACTCTGCATTGCCAAAGTAAGCATGTGTTGAATCCGTCCCTCACTCTCGGCCTACGACTTGGCTGCAGCTCCCTCTGCGGCCTTCAGGCCAATTTCTTCGTCAACTTCGTTCTCCCCTCCGAGTCCGTGTAGCCGTATTTTCGCGCATACATTTATATCCAGCTCCCTCCTTTCTATCCACGTCTGCCCTAACCAACCCCCCTCCATTACAGGCTCAGGGAAAATCGACACGCCTCTCCCTCTCAACGGGCGACCGCCCGCAATCGTATACGCAGGGACTGCCCTCCCTATCTCCGGCCATGTCATCGTCTCCCTCTTCTCCAATAATACAACGCACAAAAACGTACACCAACAGCTCGCGTACGCCCGCTAATGCGTCGTCATCCGGGCATAATGGTTTAGGAGGCATTCGTTACAGGCTTTGGAGGGGGTTTTGTTCCATTTCGAGGGAGTGAGAGGGTGGGTCAGATTCGTGTGGCGGAGGATGAGCTTGGATTCGAGGTTGAGATTGCGAACGAATCGACTGAGGCGGAGAGGGAGAAGGAGAAGAGGAGGGAAGCGGAAATGTGGAAAATTGCTCGGTGCTGGGAGGTCCTCTTGTCCCTTGGCCCACGAGCCTGGTCCACGCCAGGAACTCCGGAGACGGAAAAAGAATTCGCAGCACGTCGATTCACAGCCATTTGACTGAGGGCGGTGGTCTTAGAGGGACAGGCAGCAATTGTGGTTACCCACTGGGGCGACGAGGTTCCTTGGGTACGTGAGGAGGTTGGGCGTTTTAGGATTTGGGAGGGGATGGTGGCGTTGTTGGATGTCCATCACATTGTCTTCAATACCTCACCTATACCCCTCCACTGACTCCGGCCTGGCGCACTTGAGGTTCCTCCATGGTAGTCTTCTATCGTTCCGCCTGCGACAACACTACCCTACCACACCACCTCTGCACAATCACGTTCCCGAAACCCATAGAGGCGTCCCCATCCATTCGGGACGCCCTGTCGTATCGTATCGAACTCGACCAACCGTTGCCTCTCCTCCTTTTTCCTTTCAATGGCGCCGATTCGCCCTTCCTCCGCAAGACCTCTGAGCCAGTCCAGCATGTATGGATTCAACGTAATCCTCTGCACCGCTCGGTACACTCCAAGCTCCTTCTTTTCCGGGCGCCGATGCGAACAAAGAAACCGAATCTTCCACACCACAAGGAAGGTGGGGGGCGAGTCACCGTTGAGAGACAAGATCGAAGAGAAATCGGGTGAGCGATTGGGGTAGTGTCAACGTTCAGCGCTCAACGCTCAATAGTCACCCTCCTTCCTCCACACTGAGAAAGACTCGTTTGTCCATGATGTCCGCTCGTGGACATTGGACAACGACGAGAACCTCGCTTTCAAGAGCCCCGGTCCATCGCTTTTACAACGCGCTGAAACGAGGAGGGCTATGCACATGTGGCACCTAGATGGCCTTCCCACTGATCGACCTAATCCAGGAAGACGGCTAAAGGGACAACAAGGCAGTAGAGTTCTGCAGCGAGAATAGGTAGCGGGGAAGTCGAGATGGGGAGGTAGGAGGCAACACGCCGCTGCTAAAAATGGTTGGGACACAAAGAATCGCAGAGGAGGGTTGGTTTTTCATTGGCGGTCGGTTTGGGGAGGAGGCAGGAAAACGTGGGTGTCCGGGGAATACACTAGGATTTTTATAAAGCCAACTGTGTAAAACAGTCGATCACTACCACCGGTTTAGAATAGGAAAGAATATGAACTCACTTGACGTTCTAACCAACTTGACGGCCAAGACCAGGACTCGACGGAGCAGATATCGGCACTTGAACACGACCCGCTGAGCTACCGCGCAGCACCTCTATCCTTGAAATAGGTTTACAGGCATGAACACAGGTATTCAAACAAAGGCGAACTTACTTACATACCTCGAAATAGGGTCACACTGGAAGGGCAAAAACGAAGAAGAGGAGGAGTTGGAGAAGCCAAGGTACATAAAAATAGACCAAAACACGTGTTCACCTCGTGGCGTGATTGGGGGTCTCTAACATCTTGGGCGCTCTTCTTTCCTTCCTTCCCTCATCCTGAACCTATCCACCTCCAATATCTCAACATGAGCGGAGCGGGCGTTCTTGCGGGTTCTCACGACTTTATTGCTCGTGACAACATGTTCATTGACAACTCTGTGAGTAGAATGGTTATGATCTGGTGAACCAAACTGATAGTGTGAATCTCGGGCAGATGCACATCAATTATGGCAATAGGAAGACGTCCGATGGGGTCATTCCCCTCGTGCCGAATCCGAGCAATCGGTTCACAGGCCGCACACAAGTCATCGCCAAACTTGAGAGGCATTTTTCCAACACAAATGACTCAGCTCAGAGACGAAAGATCTTTCTGTTGTATGGAATGGGGGGTATTGGAAAGACTCAGATTTGCTTGAAGTTCATTGAGGAAATGTCTGGCTTGTGAGTATCATCAGAAAAGCAACCCTTATTTCTGAAATTTCAATTGCCTTCAGCTTCTCTTCTGTTTTCTGGATTGATGCTTCCTCAGTTGGCACCATCACTCAGG